AGAAATGAAACATTTAGGGAAGAGTGATCATTGTATCATAAGGTTTAAAAACCACAGTGGAAAAGAACAAAATGAACAATCCAGAGCAAGAACTGGGAGCGAGCTGACTTCAATCAATCAGGCAAGACTGACAGGAAATTTATAGCGAAACAACAGGCTAATTCAAGACAGGTTCAGGTATGGTCAAGTTATGTTCCCTCAAATAGAAAGTTGTGCAAACAAATCCAAAGCTGCTTGAATGAAAAAGGAGTTAGAAATTAAGATAAAGAAGAAAAGGTATGCTCATGACATGCATCAAGTAGAAAATACAATTGAGAATCAAGCTGACTATGAAATGTTCAGAAGGAAGATATAAAACAAAATGAGAGAAGTAAAAAGGGACCATGAAAAAAAAAAAAAAGAGACTGTTGGCTGACAAATTGAACGTCAAGTCTTTTACAGGCATACAAGTAGTACGAATGAGAATAAAAAAAAAGGAGCAGGGCCAATTAGGGACCAAAAGGAGGTTTACACATGGCTGAGATATAGAATGAATTTGCAATTAGAAAGCAGATATTACTCGGACCATGGTGATAGAGGAGGAAATTCAGTCACTAGAAGGGTTCAAACTTATAAAAGGTGATGGTATTGGATAGACTTTCAGTGCTTTCAAAAAATAAAAAAAAAGCACACACACAATGGTACCAGGACTGGAAAAGATTCTTCCTTCATCCTTGGATGTGAGTGTGGAAATATGGAGACACTGGCAATAACTTTTGCCATCTTCTTTAGATTCTGGGGTGGTGTCAGAGGAGGGGAGAACTATATAAAAAAAAAAGGGGGTATACAACAAGTCCAGCAATTACAGGTCAGTTAGTTTAACTTCAGTGGTGGGGAAACATTTAGAATCAATTATTTGGGATAGAATTAGTAGTCACATGAACCAATATGGATTAATTGAAGAGAGTCGACATGGATTTCTTAAGGGAAAATCATGTTTTAATAACAAAATTTTTTGTAAAGGTAGGGGGCTGATGAGGATGATGCTTTGTATGTGATGTACATGGGACTTCCAAAAGGTGTTTGATTCAGTGTCAAACAACAGACTGGTGAATAAAGTCAGGGTGCGTGGATTAAAAGGGATGGTACCTCCATGGATATAAATTTGGCTGAATGATAGAAAACACTAAGAGTTAATAAGTGGTCTTCAGGTTGAAAGGTGGTCTGCTATGGAGTTGGAGGTAGGTAATGGGGTCCTTTTCCTGATGTACATTAATGATCTAGACCTTGGTGCAAAAGGGACAATTTCCAAATCTGTGGATGCAAAATTTGAAAGCATTGTAAACTTGAGGAGGACCACAGAGAACCTCAAAAAGGGCATTTGACAAGTTGGAGTGGGAAGATAGGTAGCAAATGATGTTCAATGCCAAGAAGTGTGAAGTAATTCAAGTTTGTGGAAGAACCACAAGTTCAGGTATGGTCACTGAGAGACACAGGAAGATGAAAAGTATAGTATTACTCAAAAAATATGTGCAGAAGCAGAGATCTGTAATCATAAATTATTAAAGATGGCAGGGGCTGAGGGGTAGCAGATACAATTTAATTTAGATAAATGTGAGGCATTGCATTTTGGTATGGCAAATCAAGGTAGGACTTATGCACTTAATGGAATGGTCCTGGTGAGTGTTGCCAAACAAACAGACCTTGGGGTGCAGCTTCATAGTTCCTTGAAGGTGAAGTTGCAGGTAGAAGGGTAGTGAAGACGGTGTTTGGTACACTAGCCTTTATTGGTCAGTGCATTAGTATAGGAGTTAGGATGTCATGTTGGGGCTGCACAGTACATTGGTTAAGCTACTTTTGGAATACTGGATTCAATTCTGGTCTCCCTGCTATGGGATTGGTGTTGTGAAACTTGAAAGGGTTCAGAAAATATTCACAAGGATATTGCTGGGTTTGGAGGGTTTGAGCTTTAGGGAGAGGTTAAACAGGCTGGGCTATTTTCCTTGGAGTGTTGGAGACATAGGGGTGACCTTAGGAGGTTTATAAAAGGTATGAGGGACATGGATAGGGTGAATAGAAAAGGTCTTTTTCCCAGGATAAGGGAGTCCAAAACTAGAGGACATAGGTTTAAGGAGAGAGGGGAAAAATATAAAAGGAACCCCAAGGGTAACATTTTCATGCAGAGGGCAGTGTTTGTTTTCTTTTAAAATCATTAACGGGATGAGGATGTCGCTGGCTATCCCTAATTGCCCAGAGGGCAGTTCAGAGTCAACCACACTGCAATGGGTCTGGAGTCACAGGTAGGCCAGACTAGGTAAGGATCGCCGTTTCCTTCCCTAAAGGACATTAGTGAACCAGATGGGTTTTTCTGACAAATCGACAAGGGATTCTTGGTCATCATTAGATTCTTAATTCCAGATATTTTATTGAATTCAAATTCCATGATCTGCCGCGGTAGGATTTGAACCCGGGTCCCCAGAATGTTATGAGTTTCTGAGCCAACAGTCCAGCGATAATACCACTACGCCATCACCTCCAAAGTGGAAGTGGAAGAGGAAGTGGAGAAGACTGGTACAATTACAATATTTAAAAGGCATTTGGATGGGTACACGAATAGGAAGGGTTTGGAGGGATTTAGGCCAAATGGGACTAGATTAATTTAGGATATCTGGGTGGCATGGTCGAGTTGTACCAAAGGGTCTGTTCCCGTGCCGTACAACTCTAGGTCTTATGACGTGGAGAGACCAGTTGTAAAAATATACAATTGCAAACTTTTACTAATAGAGACATAGAATACAAGTGCAAGGAGGTTGTACTGAATTTGCAGAACATACTAGAGTTCAGAGAGAGCACTGAGTCCAATTCCAGGCACGACACTTTAGGAAAAAAATAGAGAGGGCAGAGCAGGTTTACAACAGTGATCCCAGGGATGAGAAAGTTCAATTATGAAGACAGACAGGAGAATTTGAGATTGTTTTCCTTGGAGAGGACAAGGCCCAGAAGAGAAGAGACTTACTTGAAATTTTCAAAATCACGAGCAATCTGGACTGCATAGCTAGGAAGAAACTGCTCCCATCAGTAAAAGGAGCAAGAATGTGAGAACACAAATTTAAAATGATTCGCAAAAGCAGCAAATGTGATGCAAGAAAAAAAAAAAACTTGTTACGCACCAAGTAGTTAAGGTTTGGAAGGCACTGCCTGGAGTTATGGTGGTTCAAACGAGACATTCAAGACATCACTGGATGATTATTTGAATAATAATCACGTGCAGGGCTATGGGGCAATGGCACTGTCATAGTGCTCACTGGGAGAGCTGGTGCAGACAGTGTGCTCAATGGCCTCGTCTAGCACCATAACAATTCTGATTCTAGAAGTTAAAGGTACAATAAGATCTGGGTATTCTTGTACATTAATTACAAAATATTAGTTGGCAGATACAGCAAATGATTAGAAACACAAATAGAATGTTGGTATTTATTGCTAAAGGAATGGAATGTAAAATTAGCAAATTGTCACTCCAGCTGTACAGGTGTCTTAGCGAGAACATATCTAGATTACTGCGTCCAATTTTAGGTTTTTGGTCTGTAACCGAAAATAGTTGCCTCAGAAGCAGTTCAGCGAATGTCCACTTGACGGCTTCCTGGGATTAAGAGGCTTATCTTATGAATAGACGTTAACAGGTTGGGCCTATTCTTGAGTTTAGAAGAATGGAATGTGATCTTATCGAAACATAAAAGAATTGAGGGAGTTGGTAGGGTGGATACTGGAAAGATACTCCCTCTAGTCGGCAGGGAATGACTAGAACTAGAAAACACACAGCTTAAGAATACAATGGTATTCTTTTAAAATCAGAATATTTTTCTCTCAAGGGATTGTTAACCTGTGGCCCTGCCTTCCCAAAAGAGCAGCAGAGGCTCAGTCATGAAATTTATTCAAGGCTAATCTAGATAAAATATTTGATAGACTAAAGGAATCAAGAGTTAGGGACAGGAAGGCGGAATTGAGACCACAACTGGATCAGCCATTATCTTATTGAAAGGAGGAGCAGCCTTGAAGGGCCAAATTGCCTGTCCTACCACTCACATGGTACTACCTCCAACATTCCTCGCGTAAGATCTATGGTCAATATTCACAGGAAACTACAATTCAAGGTTCAGGAATGACTATGGACGGAAAAGACTACTTCCTAATAAGCGTTCTCCCACCACTTTTGAAACACCTTCTTTATGTTTGTGGGTTGTTGAAAATTATTTGAAATGGTTAATTGCCAAGTGATTCCAGGCTATTCACAATTAAGAGGGAGCCAGACACGGGGAAAAAAAACGTAAGTGTCAAAAAGGAAAATGAAAGCGTAAAAAAGAAGAATTAAGTTAGAGCATTTATCTCCAGTGAGACAATTTATACAGAAACCTGAACGGTCTTTTCCTGTATCAGGTCTATTATATAGAATTTTCTGTTCCAATTCACACTTCCAACTGTTTATCTCTACGAATAGAGCAAAACAAAAAATAAACTCAATCTTATCTTGGGAACAGTTCCAACTGTTGTAAAAAACTCAAGACGTATTTTGCACAATGGAGGTGGAATTTCATTTGCTATGTGGCCCCTAAATTAACACACTATAAACTGGAGATGCAAGTCTGTACTTTTATTTGGACAAGCTATGGGACAGCAGTTGGGAAATACCATAAGTGCTTAATCAGAAAAGTATCTAAGAATAGACTGTCAAGATACTTTAAACTTACAGGACATGTCCCTAATTAAAACAAATTAAAAAGATAGTGAAAGCAGAATTGTTACCCAGAAAGTGAGTAACTTTACCATTTTTTGCATTTAAAAGGAACAGATGGCATGACTTGACCACTTACAACAGATACAGAATAAGTTGAACAAACCTAGTCTGCATGAAATATCTTAAAGGATAGATTCATTGTAGGGAGCGGTGTGATCTAGAACATTGTAACAAGCCTTCTGTTCAAACTCTTATTCAAAGCTGAACTTCCACCTGATTAATTGCTCACCCAGTAAGTTGATGATCCCTTCATTGTAGGCAGCAAAAAGCCTGATTGAATCTTTGAACAGTAGCATAAAGGCAGCATTTATTACTCCATTTGTCAGCTCATTTGGATTTGCCTGTATCCAAAAAAAAAAAACAGGAACATTATGTTAAAAAACAGCATCCAATGATTTAAAAATTCAAACAACAGACTGAACTTTGATTTCAGCTTACAAAGTAGGTCAAAGTCTGAAACTTGCCTGAAGTAATCCATTAATGTGTCTGGAAAAGATAATTGCAAAGTTGTCGCTCTCTAACTGGAGCAGCTAGATTGTTGCTACTCAAACTTAAATGTATGTCAGGAATTTAACTTATAAAAAGATATTATGCAGTTGATTGATAATCAAGTCACAACTTAGTCAGAAGAATTTCACCTAGAGAGTCAGTACAGGTCAGACAGATAGTAGTTCCCTTAGGCAGATTCCTTTAAACCAAAAGTCAGAGCACAGTATAAATGAAAGCAAATACTAAATTCAAGCATGTTCATAAAGAGATTGTTATTTCATGAATGGGCAACGCAATGGATTAATACAATGCTTTTCAACCCCAATTCCAATCTATCCTACATTAACAAAATTAAGCCAACTCTCTACTAACTACAAAAGATGCTATGTGGACGGGGATAGTTCAGCAAAACTGGAAGTGGAACTAAATGACCAACCTGACTCAGACACCGTAATTTATTGTGAGAAGTAGTAATGTTACGCTAGTACATCAGAACTTAAATGCACATAATTTCATTCTGCAAGCAACTGATGTCATCACTGGTGGAAGGATTGTGGAACAGTACAAGCTCAAAGTTATGCATTTATTGAAAAGCAGAATACTGCAGATGGTAAAAATTCAATACAAAAACAGAAAATGCTAGAAATACTCAGCTGGTCAGGCATCATCTGTGGAAAAAGAAACAGTTAAATGTTTCAGGTTGGTGACCTCATGTCAGGACTGGGAAATGTTACAGATGCAATCAGTTTTGAGCAAGGATGAGGAAAAGAGATTATGGAAATTTTGAGATAATATGGTAAACAGGAGAGATTGAATGACATAAAAATTAGTCTTAGGAGGGTGAAAAGGAATAGTGATAGGGCAAGAAAAGAAACAAAAAAATGAGCCTACAGCTCGAAAGCAAAAACAGAAAAAAATAGAAAAATGCAAAGGAATCAAAATGGAAGGCCTCTTCATTTTAATTTGTTCATGTAGTGTCAGCATCACAGCCTAGGCCAGAGGGCAGTCAAGAGTCAACCCGTTGTTGTGGGACTGGAATCATATACAGCCAGACCTGGTAAGGATGGTGGATTTCCTTCTGTAAAGAGCATTACTGAACCAGATGGGTGTTTGCAACAATTGAGAGAGGTTACATGGCTATCACTAGGGTAGCTATTTCTTAAATCCAGTTTGCTATTGAATTCAAATTTCACCATTTGCCATAGTGAGATTCAAACCCATGTCCCCAGAATATTAGTTTGAGAGTCTGTATTTCTAGACCAATGACATTACCACTATGTCACTATTGTTTGAAAGTGGTGAACTCAAAGTTGAGTCTGAAAGACTGTAAAATGTTTAACGGAATGATGAGGTGCTGCTCAAGCTTGTTTTGAGCTTCACTACTTAACATGTATGTTAGAATTTTAAATTCATCGTTTTATTGCATAAATATCTGATATAGAAATGTCAGTTGTGGAACACAAGATTTTAATGGCATTATAAAAAAATGTTCTTACGAATGAGAAGGAAGCATCAATTATACCCCACTTTAGGTTTGTAACACCAATTTAATTTTCAAAGTAAAATTTCACAAAGATATAACAGAAATAGTGTGGTTTGAAATAAGATTACCATTGATTACTGGGCTAATGGAAACAAACTGATCAATCTGCTCTAACTCCCTGCTTCTACATTCCCAGCAGACCAACAATATTCAGACTACAGTCTTTAATAGAGGCAAACAGCTGGAGATCCAGCAAAAGCCCCATGTTGCCTCTTTTAGACAGGTCCACTGTATCATTTGTCACTCATACACAATAATGCCAGCAGCTGGTCTTCCACCAGGGTCAAGGATCCCAGGTACGGAAGTCGGACTTGCTTAGAACAGCCAGCCATTTACAGGCCAGAACCATGATTCATTGGCAACACCACCACGCAGGCGATAGCTGCTGTGGTACAGCACTCACCCAAGTCCTACAATAGTCACTGGATCCCAGGCCACAAATATGCAATGGCAGTTGATTAGGAAAGAATGATCTGCCACTTCTCCTTTTCAATTGCATGACTCTAGGTGTGGAACACTTTCTGTATTCAGCGCCAAAACGAACAAATGGAAACAATTCAAACAGTTGAAAGAAAATAAATGCTGGCCAAAGATTATTCTTCACCCAGCTGAGTTGGACATTTAAATGGTCACCTTCCTTCCAGATCCTCGGTTCCTTGATCAGGCACTAAGTGTCTTTGATCAAGGGACTACCAAGAGCCCACAAAACAGCAGCATACAGGTTTGCTGGTCATGCTCCCTGCATTACAATCACCCGATCAGCAGTGGCGAATGAGACCCTTAAGTCGCATTAATTGGCAGAGGGGCAGAAAGGCTGTCCATGGCCCTTGCCACAAAGAACAAGTGGAACTGAATCCCCAACTAATTGCCTCCCACTTGATTAAATCCCTTCCTCCCACCACTGACAGTGCACATGGAAGGGCATTAATTGCCAATGTGCATTATTACTAGAGATTAAACACCAAAGAAATAAACACGAATTGATTTTTGTAATTAGAAACAAGATATTATCACACTTGATAAAGAATATTCCCCACAAAGAGCAAACATTTTCAAAGATATAGACCAACTACAAACAAATCAGAAATAATTAAGCAAAATCACTGGGTAGGACACACTAAAAAGAAATTGCACGTACGTCAAAATCTAGGAGGGCATCCAGCTGATTCTGTATAAGAGGCAGAGTTTTCAGCAATTTCTCTGTATTCATTGTTCTCATTACTCCATCCATCCTATAACAGCATACAAAGTGTCACTGCATAATCTATACATTAAAAATACCAATTGCAGATTTCCTCCCACTCATTATCTGGCTGAAGGAAATACAATACATTTGTCAGGCAAATTGCAACAATGCTCAGATGTTTCATACATCTACAAGAATTAGCAGACGATCTATGATGTTGTTTGGTAAATCACAGGATGCAACAACAGTTTGAATGCTAAACTATTAAAATTTGTATGTACAAGTAAACTTCATATCTTGTAATATTCTTTCTACATATCCTTTTTTCAAAAAAAAAGTGTTATAAATAAATTTTTTATCCAATAGTTTTCTTTTAGAAAGAAACATGACAGATCACAAAAGTCTGTTGGATAGAAGTGTTTCATTATGAAAATGTACAGGATATTAATGCTAACTTTTAAAAGACAAATTAAGAAAAACGGCAACATTAAAAATAAAGTGCAATTTCATTATTATCTGTGTATTAATTAATCCTAACTACTACATAGGATTCAGTCCAACATTATTAAATATATTATCAAAGTTATCTAAGCCTTGTGTGCCTACTAGGGTAAGACATACCCTCTTTTCATTTTGGTGAAGTCAACTGCCATTAGTCTGTATGAGAGTGCTTTTTCATTAAGATATCTGCTATACCGTCTGATGAAAGTGGACATGTCATATCCTACAAGGAAAGAAGAAAAATGTTATGGTCGACATTAAGTTTACTTACACTATTAATTTGAAACAGAGCAAGAGCAAGTGATGCAGACTTTAATAATTTGCATATCTTGATTTGTATTTGAGTAAAGAAAACACTTACCTTGCATGGCACTTTTATCCAAAAAATTATTTAAGTTGAACAAAGTATTTCTTGAAGCCAAATACTGTATAAAACGCTGCAAGAAAGAAAGGTCATTAGCTGGTAACTGAAGTTTAGTACATCAGCGTCAATATCAAAATTATTGGACCTTATGCATATTTTGAAAACACACAATTTCCTCTAATAAAACAAAAAAAAAGTGTTGGAGAAACTCAGCAGGTCCAGCAAAATCTGTGTGGAGAAAAACAAAGTTAACTTCGAGCACAACATGACTCTTCCTTGGTACTGACGGGAGTTGGAAGCGTAACAGGCTTTATGGTGTTGAAAAAAAAAAGGTGGGGATGAGCAAGTGGAAGAGTGTGGAAGGTCAAAAAAAAAGGTTTGAGGGCAAAGGAGATTAGGAATCAAAGGTATTATACAGTAAAAGGAAAGTGTGGATGATAATAGTTGTGAAGTGACAAAGCATAGATCTAGAGTGAGGGTGGGTGGAAGAATGCGTAAGGTGGTGGAAATGGCAAAGGATGTTACTTTGAATACAAGGGCTGATGGGATGGAAACTGAGGACAATGGGAATCCTATTATGGTTCTAAGACTTCCCTCACTTTGTCTAAATAAAAAGCTCCTGCTGTGGGTCCTGGAATGGGCCCTACTTATGCCTGTGTCTTTGTGGATTATGTGGAACATTCCTTGTACCGGTCCCAACAGGTCCTGTCTTACAAATCTTTTGCCAGTACACCGATACCCATGTAGGTGCTGCTTCCTGCTCTCATTTGGAAAAATTAAAAGTCAATTTTGCTTCCAACTTCCACCCTACTCTCACCTTCTCTCTGAACAGTGGAACAACTTTGTCACACTTAAATACTTGAAACACCTCCAATGATCTAGGAAGATCCAACTGCATTTATTGCGCTCTATTCAGCTAGGGATCAGACAAGAGGTGGGGGAAAGTTATAGAAGATCTTGTGGAGTTCAAAGGTAAACCAATGGCTTCAAAACTAAGATTTTATCTTTGTATCAAAAATGCACTTCACACGTACAACAAAATTTTGTACTTTAAACAAAGTGATGAAACAAGGGTTTGTTCAGGAAGAGAACCATTTTAGCCAGTTTCTTAGAGCAGTTACCTGGAGTCAACATGCTTTGTTGTATTCCTAATTACTTTCACAGCAATAACAATATGGCATGACCCATGTTTTAAGCTCAAATACTGTTTATAACAGGTTCCAATTTGCTCTAGTTCTGGTCTCAAAATAACATGAATTTCTGAAACAAAGAAATATAATCCAACTAATTTCCTAATTTGTTGTGATAGAAGTTATTTCAGCCATGTCATTGAAAATAGGTTCAAATTGCAAGAGGCAATTTGCTAGAATATAAATATATCCATTATCTGCCTGTTTAAGACACTACCAAAGCTTAGTTATCAAGCTTAGCGCACCAAGCTAATAGCCAAGTCATAAAGTCAGGAAACAGTCCCTCAGTCCAACTATTTCATGACAACCAAGTTTCCCAAACTAAAGTAGTCCCAACTGCCTGCTTTTAGCCCATTTCCCTCCAAACCTCTCCTATTCGTGTACCTATCCAAATGCCTTTTAAATATCAATCAAAACAACCAAGACAATGAATATGGACCTAAATGACTAAGACTGAATGATGGATATAATTTATTCAGAATTTCATCCGAGAAAGGTAAAAGACCACCCCTTAAAACAAGATAACGAAAAGCTCAGGGATCAATACAACAGGCCTGATACTGTTGCAGTCAGGATTACAGTTTAATAAAATTAAAGCAGCTTGACCGGAGGTGATTCCTTTACTACTGGACCATATCTTAAAATGCAACTTATTTTAGGAAATGGTAAGTGACAGAAAGAGAAAGAAATCATATTTATGTTGTATCATTCCAAAAGTAAGACTAGTGACTAGATAATTCATTTCTATTACATAGAAATTTGACAAAATACTGTCATCATTACTAGATGAGAATCATCCAATATTTATCTTAAACTGTCACGGATTTCCACTTTTGCCTAACGCAAATCAGAGGAGACAGCCAAAGCAATTTTGTACGTATGCAGTCTTTGGCTTTTAGGAAACCTGCAGACAGTAAAATCATTTACATTTCTTCAGGAAAACAGGATTCGGCATTCATTCTTAGGAAGTCAAATTCAGTTGATTCAAGGCCTTGTACTTTTCAAAAAACAAAGTACCTGCTTTGGCTTACATTCTGAGATAGTAGGAACTGCAGATGCTGGAGAATCCGAGACAACAAGGTGCAGGGCTGGATGAACACAGCAGGCCAAACAGCATCATAGGAGCAGAGAGGCTGACGTTTCAGGCCTAGACCCTTCATCAGAAAAGGGGGAGGGGAAGGGGTTCCCAAATACATAGGGAGAGAGTGGGAGGCGGATAGAAGAGGGATAGAGGAGAGGATAGGTGGAGAGGAAACAAACAGGTCGAAGAGGCGGGGATGGAGCCAGTAAAGGTGAGTGTAGGTAGAGAGTTAGGAAGGGGATAGGTCAGTCCAGGGAGGACGGACAGGTCAAGGGGGCGGGATGAGGTTGGTCGGTAGGAGATGGAGGTGCGGCTTGAGGTGGGAGGAAGGGATAGGTGGGAGGAAGAACAGGTTAGGGAGGCAGGGACGAGCTGGACTGGTTTTGGGATGCGGTAGGGGGAGGGGAGATTTTGAAACTTGTGAAATCCACATTGATACCATTGGGCTGCAGGGTTCCCAAGCGGAATATGAGTTGCTGTTCCTGCAACCTTCAGGTGGCATCGTTGTGGCACTGCAGGAGGCCCAGGATGGACATGTCGTCTGAGGAATGGGAGGGGGAGTTGAAATGGTTCGCGACTGGGAGGTGCAGTTGTTTGTTGCGAACCGAGCGTAGGTGTTCTGCAAAGCGGTCCCCGAGTCTCCGCTTGGTTTCCCCGATGTAGAGGGAGCCACACCGGGTACAGCGGATGCAGTATACCACATTGGCAGATGTGCAGGTGAACATCTGCTTGATGTGGAAAGTCTTCTTGGGGCCTGGGATGGGGGTGAGGGAGGAGGTATGGGGGCAGGTGTAGCACTTCCTGCTGTTGCAGGGAAACCTGTCCGTCCTCCCTGGACCTGACCTATCCCCTTCCTAACTCCCTACCTACACTCACCTTTACTGGCTCCATCCCCGCCTCTTCGACCTGTTTGTTTCCTCTCCACCTATCCTCTCCTCTATCCGCCTCCCACTCTCTCCCTATTTATTTCAAAACCCCCTTCCCCTCCCCCTTTTCTGATGAAGGGTCTCGGCCCGAAACGTCAGCCTCTCTGCTCCTATGATGCTGCTTGGCCTGCTGTGTTCATCCAGCCCTGCACCTTGTTGTCTTGGTTTACATTCTGTCTGGAGTGGTGGTCGGTTCGGTGCAAGATCATCGCAATAAATCCAAGCCCAGAGACCAAAAGCTATTTATTTGAAATATAAACTTTACTCTAAGAAAGCAGGCCAATTTTCTCTTTTACAGCTTCATTTACACAGTTTGTACATCTATGCTCCCTTCACCATTATTAGCAACCCCTTTGTCTTTGGCTCTGAGCACCCCTGTAGTCTGTTCCATATGCTCCTTGCCCCCCACCCCACTCTACCCACGGTATAAAAAACACAATTTTCCAATCTCTTCTGTGGAGTCACATCAGACTCAAAATGTTATTTGTTCCTCTCTCCACAGATGCTACCAGACTTGAAGTTCTGCAACACTGCTTTCAGATTTCCAACATCCACACAGCATTTTGTTTTTATCTTTAAGAGGGTGTTGTACTTGTTAAGTTGGTAGATGGAAAGTATACAAATAAAAGAACAAAACATAATGGGTTAAATATAGATGTAGAAGGCATACACATCAACTGATTATGAAGTAGTGGTAAAACGTACCAAGTGCTATTCTGACAATGAAAAATACACGCATTTATGTATTTCAAATAACAGAATTACATTTGTTTGCTGTATTATAAAAGAAAAATCATTAAGACACTATCAGTGAATGCCTATTCTTTAACTCATGATACCTTTTAAGATTGTTATTATTCTCGGTCCACTTTTTTTTTTGAAAAGAAAGATTATCCTAACTTAATACAACTACTTCAGAGCACAGATATCAATATCTGTCAATTATATTTCTCACATTTGTAGGCTTATGTGCAAAAAGCTGATCTTAAGCCCTGAAATTCTGAAGGGACTACAAAAACAGAATAATAATTATTGTAGATAAATGCGGATACTTTCCTGGCAATTTAATCGGCTAACATTGCAAGTAAAACAAAATCTAAAAGATTAGAAAACACAGAATCTGAGCATTTATTTCTGCTGAAGAGCTAACTACAAAGGAAATAGCATACCAATCGTCCACTATGGCCCAGGTTAGCCCTCTGTTAGAGTGTACTGCCTCTCGACAGTCATTGTTGAGTTTGATTACATAATGACCACTTTAGGGGATAGGGATCAGAATAAAGAGCTTCAGGTACAAATCTACTATGTAGTTAGGGCAAGAACACTGGAATGCCTCCCACCTATCTAAATCATTATCTTTAAAGACAAAGCCTTAAACACAGAATGGAAGTCAAAACGTTTCCTTACCATAGCGTGGCACACCTGAGCAAGCAACTGCTTTACCAAAAACAGAAGTTTTGAAGTTGCCCAACCTGGTTACAAATTTATGCTAAATGTTTCCAAAATAATACTAGCCAATAATTTTTGATCCTTTATGCGATGAGGACATCACTGGCTAGGCAGCATTTATTGCTCATCCCTAATTGCCCAGACGGCAGTTCAGAGTCAACCACATTGCTGTGGGTCTGGAGTCCGATGTAGGCCAGACTAGGTAAGGGTGGCAGTTTCCTTCCCTAAAGGACATTGGTGAACCAGATGAGTTTTTCCTGACAATCAGCAATGGATTCAATAGATTCTTTTTTCCAGATATTTTATTGATTTCAAATTCCAAATCTGCCGTGGCGGGATTCGAACCTGGGTCCCCAGAACGTTATCCAGGTCTCTGGACTAACATTCCAGCGATAAAACCACTTGGCCATTGCCTCCCCTAAATGCAATTTGATGGATAACACTTACCTCATTCCCATACATCATCAAATGATGCGTTGTGATTAAAGCTTTAAACACCACAACCCAGCTGTTGTTTGTTGCCCTTTCAAACAGAGTATCTGCCATTTGTGGTATGTTCACATTCATCTCATTGGTACATTGGATTAAGTCTAGAAAAAGAACAGTATAAAGGCAATTAAATAGACATTTCTGGTTCTGGCCTCCCCCCACCCAAAAATTGGTCCTTATATTTCTACTAGAGCTTTTATTTGAAGTGTTCCACTACACCCAGACACAACTTAGGAATTCAGCAAAAACAAATATGCAGTGGTGGAGGCTGGCACAATTACAACATTTAAAAGGAATCTGGGTGGGTATATGAATAGGAAGGGTTTAAACGAAGGATACGGGCCAAATGCCAGTAAATGGGACTACATTAATTTAGGATATCTGGTCAGCGTGGACAAGTTGGACCGAAGGGTCTGTTTCCATGCTGTATATCTCTATGACTCGACACAAGATTACTCATTGCCTGCAAGTTAATCAAGGCTTTGATCTGGCATCATTATCCCTATAAAATTAAGTGGAAGCACAGATAAAGTGATCATTGATTCAATGTCTTCTTGGCCAACAGAATTTCATTTTGAAGCAGGTGATGGTAATGAGCACAGATGTAAGTAATGGACCAAGCACTGGAACTAGAAACATAGAAGATAGGTGGAGTAGGGCATTCCATCCTTTGAGCCTGCACTACCAATCTGCACGATCATAGCTGATTGTGCAATCTCAGCATCCCTCACACCATTCCCCTTGATCCCTTTAGCCGCAAGGCCCACGTCCAGCTCTCTCTTGAACATATTTAATGAATTGGCCCCAACAGCTTCCCGAGGGAGAAAATTCCACAGGTTCATATCCGAGTGATGAAATTCTTCCTCATCTCAGTCCTGATTTACTTACCCCTCATTCTTAGATTGTGACCCCTAATTCTGGGCTTCCCCAACATTGGAAACATTCTTCCCGCATCTAGCCTGTCCAGTCCCATCAGGATTTTATAGGTTTCTATGAGATCCTCCTCGTTCTTCTAAATTCTAGTGAATACAAGCACAGTCCATCCAGTCTTACGTCAGTCTTGTCATCCCGGGAATTCAGTCTGGTGAACCTTCACCGGACTCCCGCATCCCAAAACCAGCCCAGCTCGTCCCCGCCTCCCTAACCTGTTCTTCCTTCCTTCCACCTAAAGCCGCACCCCCATTTCCTACCTATTAACCTCATCCCGCCCCCTTGACTGACCTATCTCCTCCCTACCTCCCCACCTACACTCACCTTTACTGGCTCCATCCCCGCCTCTTTGACCTGTCTGTTTCCTCTCCACCTATCCTCTCCTCTATCCATCTTCCATCCGCCTCCCCCTATTTATTTCAGAATCCCCTTCCCCTCCCCCATTTCTGATGAAGGGTCTAGGCCCGAAACGTCAGCCTTCCTGCTCCTATGATGCTGCTTGGCCTGCTGTGTTCATCCAGCTCTGCACCTTGTTGTCTCAGATTCTCCAGCATCTGCAGTTCCTATTATCTCGGACACATTTTGAGTTGAATTTGGCACAGAGTCAAACTCAATCTGGACTCAAAACAGTAACTCCTTCTTTCCACAGATGCTGCCAGATCTGCTGACCTTTACAGCACTTTTGCTTTTTATTTCAGAATTCCAGCCGTATTTCATATTGTCACAATATTACAAGTCTTGTACAACTGTAGCAATTTTTTTTTCTTGTACAACTAGTCTCTATGTAATAAAGCCCAACATACCATCTGGTGTCCTAACTGATTGATACAGATGCACATTAGTTTCCTATACTTGTAGAAATACACCCAAGTCTTTGAATATCAACAGTTAGAAGTGCTACTTTTCAAAAAGTCTGCCCGCTCCTATTCTTACTACCAAAATGAATAATTTCAAACTTGCCCACGTTATGCATGGTTACCTTGTTGCCCACTCATTTAAACAGCTTGTATCCCATACAGCATTGGATCGTCAAACTTAGATCCATTACTCTTGGTCTGTTCACCCAAACCATTAAACGTGGATAGTACATAGCTGAGGATTCAAACCTATGTTTGCACAGCGTTCAAATAAAAGCAAAATATCGAAGATGCTAGAAATCTGAAATTTCAAAAATGTGCTGGAGAAGCTCAGCAGGTCTGGCAGCATCTCTGGAGAGACAAAGAGTTAACATTGAGTCTAGTATGACTCTTCTTCATGACTATCACTTGAAGCAATACTTGGGACAAAGTCATCAGAAGATTCATTCTGGAGTTGTAATGTTAACTCGAGTTCTGGAGGGACATAGATAGGGTAGACAGGAAGAAACTATTCTCCTTCATAAGGGGTAAATGACCAAGGGGTGTAGGGTTAAAAGGCAAGAAGCCGAAGATTTAGAGACATGATGAAAAAAAAAGACTTTCACCCAGAGGATGTGAGAATCTGAAAATCACTAACTGTAACAGTGGGAGAGGCAGAAACCCTCATAACATTTGAAAAGTATCTAGATGTGCAAATACAGTGCCAAAGCATACAAGGCTATGGGCATACAAATGCTGGAAAATGGGGTTAGAATAGTCAGGTGGTTGTTGTTTACTGGCACAGATGAACCAAAAGGGCTTTTTTCTGCACTGTAGAGTTATCAAGAGCTATGACCACCTTCCCTTCTTAAGAGCACCAATGTCTTCAGTCTCTTAACAGGCAGAATGAGCAGTTAATACTGGAAGTGATTTCCTAATGTTGACAGGAGTCTGGATGAGAAGAAATTAATAAAATCACCAGCTGCTGAAGTGGAATTTCACTGCAGCAATGATCCTTTTACAGGTTTTCTAACTTGAGTTATCTAAGGACCATAAATCATGCCATTGTCTGGATTACACTCTAATCCTGCGGCTGTAGTACAAATGGAGGAGTGAATGTAAAAATAACACTGACTTCACAGTGGTCTGTATGGTGTTCTCCCTTCCGTGGCCTACATCAGTGATGTGCCAAAGTGAGCTCATTTTTTAATTTATTTACGTTTCCAATGCAAAAGTTCACAGTTCCAGTTTCCAATGGCAAGTCTGTCCAAGTGATCTGGCCATCAATGCACAGTCATGGTGCGGGATCCGAACAATTTCAGGACTACAATTACTAAAATAATGGATTGAGGGGGGTGGGGTCACAGAGGATGGTCATGTGGAGTCACTGAAGATTGTAACAGTGAACTTTCATATGGAAAATAAAGAGAAATGAGCTTATTTCAACACGTCACTGATGTGGAGCACTTAAAGAAAACACCCCGGAAATTATATCAACATTGAATCATCAAATGCTTTTCCCCATCCCCAGACTGGCTTAATGTTCTCTGTGCTTCCGAAAACAGGAAATTCAGCAATTGTGTAGTAACTTCCTTCAACCCACCCCAAGCTAGGTCTTTAGTGAGCTTATGAACTCTCAAAAAGTACTGTACAAAACAGCTTAACATAATGTAAACATGTGCTGTAAAAAATTTTCAAACTACATTTCATCTTGGCTTCCTATTTCTGCTTCTGCAATTTAACTTAAGTTGTTGAGTTGCAACCCTTTTACCAATTCTTTAAATTTTTTAAAATGCTGTTTACATCTAATCATTCTAATCACTCATCTTGTTTATAAAACATCCAAATTTTTCTAGTCTTGCATCATAAAAGTTTTTCTTAGCACTGCATCTAGCACCCACGTGCCATAGCAACCACAACTGCATATAGCAAGTATTTAAACTGCGGTCTGACCAGAGTACTATACAATTCAAACCTGGACCTATTGGACCAGCGTCATTTTAAAAAAAAAAACAAGGTCAGGATTAATATTGCAGCATTTTAAGCGAAATCTCAGATTTTCACCGAATCTCTACAGTGTGGATACGGGCCATTTGGCCCATCGAACGCACATCAACTCTCAGAAGAGCACCTCACCCAGACCGCACCCCCATCTCATCCCTGTAACCCTGCATTTCCCATGGCTAATCCAACCAACCTGCACAGTTTTGGACTGTGGGAGGAAACACACACATACAGGGGGCGAACTCGCAAACTCCACACACACAGTCGCTTAAGATTGGAACTGAATCCGGGTCCCTGGCTCTGCAAGGCAGTAGGTTAAAACCAGTGGATTTCAAACTTGTGAGAATTGGTAACAAATCAATGTTGTGGATGCTATATACCAGATAAATCAAAACAAAATTAGATTGTCTGTGAACCCCAATTTGAAAATCTGTTAGTCAAGAACAAACAAGTTCATAACATTACAGGTATTCAAAGAGCGAGAAATTTTCTCTGGTGTCCTGACCATCTTTCCTCATTCAATAATACAGTAATGTAGTCACCTATTTTATTCTGCACAAGATGACTGTTGTGGTTGTCTACTTCCTGTTTCTAATGCAATTATGCTAAATTGCAGTGGTGGAGAGAAGATTCAAATAGTTAACTGTTGTGCAGGAGGCATGGGTTGGTTACAACCAGCTTTGTGCTTGAGCATAAGCATGTGTGACTATAGAATGCATCCATACGAGTAAATAGAGCTGAAAAGACAAACAACTATCCAATCTTTTGTTGAAAGTAACTTTGTGCTGGCTTATGCAAAGCAAAATTGATGTATGATCACCATTTCTGATGTTAATGTTGACATGGGTGTACATTCTTTTGGGTCAGAACTGCAATAAAAAAGGTCAGAAATATTTCTTACTAGCAAGGGTTGAGATGTTTGACTAGATCTGAATTGATGATAAGACAATATTGTAAAATAAGTGAGAGAGATTTTAAATGTACATAAATTCTTATGCAGTATATTGTGGAATGTAAAAAAAGTGTAATATATTTGATGAAGGACACAAAAGTGCTAAAAAAAAATACAATTATTTTTGTTGTTGATAAAATCGCTTACTTCGTTTTTTTTCTTTGCATGGCCTGCCTTTGTGATATTATTGACTTGAACTTTGGGTTTCAGATCATTTATGAACTAATTTATTTTAGAAGATGCTGGTACAGTGATGGAACACTGTCTTCCACCTCTAGGATCTAACTTAGAATCTAGGAAATTGCTAACCTCTTTCTCCGCAACAACTTAGATGATAAAGTACCAAAAACAAACCTTGAAATGTTAGCTGCAGTAGTAG